GTACGTAGTACGTAGTACGTACGTACGTAGTACGTAGTAGTACGTAGTAGTACGTAGTAGTACGTAGAGAGAGAGAGAGAGAGAGAGAGAGAGAGAGAGAGAGAGAGAGAGAGAGAGGTTCGATGTATAGTGAGTGAAACATCAGTCATATTATTCGTGAATGAATAAAATTTCAAATCTAAATGCATTTAAGCCTTTAATGTTTCTTGGTGTGTATGTGATTCTCTTGTTCTTTTGAGGGTTTGGAGGGAATGTAAAGCAGATGGACATGACAATGAAACTGTTATACAACCAGATACTAGAGTAAATTTGTAATGGTAGAAAATGAGAATACTATTGCTAAAGGTTCTTATTGAGTACACCTATGAATATGAAGAATATTAGCCCAGCATGGTCAGTGTTCACCTCTGAGTAATGGCAAGAAAAGCATGGTTTACTTGTCTTCTTTTGCTTTCTTCCTTATCCAATTGGCAACCATGGGGGTGAGGGCCACAGTTGGAGGAAACCTGATTGGGGATGCAGCTTTATGTGCAGCATATGCCAAGGCAAAAGTCCCCACTTTTCCTCCTGTCTCATCTGCATGGATTCCAACCTGCACAGACATGGAGTAGGCTGTTGAGATGCATATTTTCATGTTTTCATATGTTAGTTTCCTGTGTATCCATTTGCCTATCTATTTGGTACGCAGAAAATAAGGTACACCAGTGATTTCATATATGGTATTTTGATTTTGCTGAATCGTTTTTTTTTTTGTTGTTGTTGGGCAACTGATGAATCAAATAAGGCGTGTATGATAAAGAGGAAAAAACCTGACCTTTTCAAGCAATCCCTGTATGTCGATCCCTGCTCTAACGAGCAAGTAACATAGGGCGAAGGAAACGAGTGAGAGAAATATTGATGTGGCCAAATATGCTCCTCCATACTTGGCTAACAGTTCCTTCGTTTGATTCGCCTTTGATTTCCCTTCACCTTCTTTGGCCTCTTTTGATCCGAATATCTTCATTTTAAAAAGTAGAACTTAGCATCTCTTGCTCATACTACAGTAAATATTACAATGTGTCTGGGAGTTTCTTAATTAAATGGAGACCCATATCTCTCTTTGCTGTGAAAATGTATTCTTGGTGTTAGGATTGAATATTTGAAACTTCATGGCCACTATTTTTTTAGGGTGCAGTATGTATAGACCCTAAGCTCTAAACAATCAAATTAGAGCCTAACTTCAAATAGTGTCAAGAAATGTGGTTTTAATATTGGAAACATTTGTGATAGCCTTAAAATATATTTTCATTTTTATTTATAAAGATTAAAGCCTAAAAAATGGTGTAGATTGATAGATCTATGAAAACTTGAACATCTTAAAAATTGACGGTTTAAAAATGCGTTACAAAATACATTATTTTCAAACTTGAAATTCATTTTTTTTTTTTTTTTCTTGTCCATACATCTGATCTGATGTCGAGTTGATCAATTTGAGGATATTTGAGCATCAAAACAACTTCTTCTAGTGAAATTTTTGTGGTAGGCTCCAATTTGATTGTTTGGAGCGGCTCTATATAAACTTTTCCCTTCTTTTTATGAGTCAATAAAGAATGGACCCGGTTTTTATGCAGCCTAAGCTTGCATATGTACAAATGCGGGCTTCTTAATAAATCTATTTTTTAAATGGATTTTTGGACTTAAGTTTTGAGGACATGTAATTTCTAACATGGAGATCATGAATATGAAAAAAAAAAAAAGAATTTAAAAGCTAAAAATAATAATTTTAGTAAGAAAACATTTGGTTCGTTAGTTTCCGTTGTTTTTAGATGGAACTCATCTATCTTTAAGATGGATGCTTTACACTTTCTGGAAGAAATGCAGCCTAGCCCTCGTGAAAGAATTTTCCGTAAGCAATGAATTTTATCGATTCTCAAAGTAAATAACCTCTATGGGATGGGTTAGATCATGGCATACAAACCACGGAAAAATGATCTTCTTACTATTGAAGTTACAGAACAGGTTTGCTCTAGAAAAAGGTGAAACCTGAAGAAAAACTGCTGTTAATAAAAGGACATCAACATAGTGTTCCTAACAACCACGGACTCTTTATGCCCTCCGAGTAGCAGGTTATAAGAGGACCAAATTTATTTAAGTAAGGGAAAAGTTATATAGAGCTGAGGCTCTAAACAATTAAATTTGAGCCTATCTTAATATCTTAAAAATTTCACTAGAAGATGTTGTTTTGATGTTCAAATATCTTTAAATTGATCATCTCGACATCAAGAAGTTTAGACATAAGAAAAACATAGATTTCAAGTTTTGGAAATAGTATATTTTGTAACACATTTTTTTACAGTCAATTTTCAAGATTTTCAAGTTTTTAAAGATTTGTAGATCTACAATATTTTTAAGCTTTTAATTTTATAAATAAATATAAAAAGATATTTTAAAGCTATCACAAACATTTCCAATATTGAAACCACATTTCTCGATACCATTTGAAGGGAAGTAATGCGTAGATCGCTTCATCTATTTTTACACTCCACTTCCCAGTTAGTTCTTGAAACTAGAAAGCAAAAATTTCTCTAGTATCATCAACGAGCCTCCTTCCAATCATTTGGGATTGGCTACACCAATCAAAGTTCTACATAGATTCAAGATTCATGAAAAAATTGGCAAAATTTTGGGACTTGATTGAGTTAAAATTAATAATCACAATGCGACTAACCTCGTACCTTGAAATATTAAAAGAAAGAAAACGATTTTTTTTTGGCTAATTCAGTGGGGAAAAAAAAGCCCCTACCAGTTTTTAAGAAAGGCCCTACCCAAATAGATTAGGAATTAGGTTTTTGAAGGTGTTAGTGGAATTGAAAACCGTAACTAAGGGATGCCGCATCCCCTTTTTTTTTATTTAAAAAGAAGGGGAAAAAAAGAGAGCAAGGAACTTGAAACCAAAGAAAAGATCAATTAAACCCAGCGGAGGAAGAGATATACTAATTTCCTCTTATTTCATCCTGAATTCGTGAAGAAGTTTTATAAGAAACAAAAGTTCAGGAAAATTTCGCTCAAATTCTGGAAGTAACAGATATTTATCCAAATATCGGCAATCCCAGAGGAGTTATCCCATTTCTCTGAAAATTCAGATATTTTGAAATTTCAGGCTTAGTTTATAGGAAATAATCTATTCCGGAAACAGCAAAAAGAAGAGAGAGAAACACAAGGCTATGCTCGGCGCTGAGGCAGCAAAACGAAAGTAGAGAGAGAGAGAGATACCTTCCATAATCCAGCCTCGAGACCAAATTTCTGAGTGATTTGTTCAGCAGATTGAGCGCCCTCTCTGTCTTTTTCTTTTGTCTCTTGGAGTGCCCGAGAGATGAAGAGTCTCTTCGTGCCGTTACTCAAAGGTGATGCAGGCAAGGACTTGAAGTAGAGAGAGTTAGAATTGTGAAGAAATGTTTTAGAGAGATGAAGTGAAGCAGGAAGAGGAGAGAGCGCCATAGCCGATGCCATTGCTCTTTCTCTGCTACTCCCGAGAGAGTCGCGATAAGTGGGGAGAGGTATTTATCCGAGCATCGAATAAAGAAGAGAGAGAGAACAAGATAAACGAAAATCGTAGGGCTAAGAAACGGGACAAGTAGCGTATTACTGATATTCAATTTGCGAAATGCGATTACGCTTTCACTAGAGGAAAAGGTTTGCATAAGGTCTACACATTCAAATGTAGACTTGAGGTCCATCTCTAAAATCTTTTGAAAAAAAGTTGTTTTTGATAGGAAAAAAAAAAAAAAAGTTTTTTTTTTTGCTTTAAAAATAAGATATCTTACGATACATTGTCTAGACTCTACCTTTTAAAAAATTTCATGCGTTTATAGATAATATTTTGGAGTTTAAATTTTATAATTTTTTTTGCACCCAAGGATTTTCGACACTAAGTTTGGAAGTGCACCATACTTTTATAAAGGTTGTAATTTTATACAAACCACACCCTTAACTAGAAAAGGATTTCATTTTCTTAGAATTTTTTTAACTATGCTTAACTGAAATAAGAGAAGCTATTCGTTCCCATAAGTTTTCTATTCAATGATATCCATTTTTTTTTTTTGGAAAAAGTTTATATAAGGTTATAACCTGAAAATGTAAAATTACAGATGCGCCGTAAAATTCCATTGGAAAAGCTTCTTTTAATGTTGAAAAACTCTCTAATTGATCATATTGACATCGAGAAGAATGAATATGAAAAAAAAAAGAAGATTTTAAGTTTCATAAATATTGCATCTTGCAACACATTATCTAGACCGCTTGTTTTCAAGATTTTCATATAGTTATAGATCTACTTGATTTTATCCACTTTTGGAGTTTAAAATTTTATAATTAGATATGAAAATAGATTTTTTGATAATCCTAAGAATATTTTACACCAAAATTATATGTTATGATAAAATTTGGAAGTGCACCTTAATTGAATGGTTTAAGGTTGCAACCTTATAGAAACCATACCCGTTTTTTTTTCCTCCAAATATTAACCAAACAATGATGTTATCATTAGAGACTCATTCCAAATATTTGGGGTGGCTACGCGATTTTTGTTTCACCTTTATGGTCTATCAATACCCATATCTTGAGCAAGATCTTTTCTCACTGCTTCTTACGAGGAACATCCTAGCATTAGTAGACAATGTAGATTAAAAAATCATAGAAAGTTATAGCAAAGTTTTACGCTGGCCGCCTACCTTACACAACTCCTCCTTTATTCAGGTTTGGAACGACATGATCGGCAAGTAGGGCTGAGAATTTACCTAGTCCGGATATGAAACTTGAAATTCAGATCTTATTCGAGTCTGGGTATGGATCTAAGTTTTGGACAAAAAATTGATCTAAATAGTAATTCAGGTCGAATTCGAGTATACGTAGACCCGACCCTGTTTTTTAAAATAATTTATATTAGGGAAAATATCTCGATACCTTTTATTTTTAGGTTTCTTTTTACAATAGACCAAAGGTTTTAAAAGATATCTTGAAGAATAAAAATTGTAATTTTTATTTCTTCTAACCCCCTGAGCTATTTTAAACCTATTTTTTTAGGCCAAATAAATATGAAAAGGCATGCTTTTTCTAAAAGCTATCCTCTCTCCTTACACCCTCTCTCTCTCTCTTTCCCATCTCTAACCTTTTATTCTCTCTCCTCCCTCTTTCCCTCAACTTCCTATTACTCCTCTCACTCTCTCTCTTCTCAAGTACATAGTAAATATACGGAAAGGAAGATAGGTGTTTAGATAAACACAGGAAGAGAGAGGTGTTTGGAGGTGAGAGGTTATCGGGAGGAGAGAGAGATATATTTGGATAAATACATAAAGAGAGAGATGCTTGGTGGTGAGAGGATACTGGGAGGGGAGAGAGAAAGGTGTTTGGATAAATTGAGAGGAGAAAAAATGAAACATGCAATAATAGAGAGAAAGATTGAAGTTTGGGGTATATAAATGAGGAGAGAAAAGAGATTGTGTTTAAAAAGAGCATGTCCTTCTCACATTTGTTTAGGTTAAAAAATAGGTTTAAAGTAGGAGATGGTTGGAAAATATTTCTTCAAACCTTAAGTTTATTAAGATATAAAAAAGGAAATGACCTTCTGAGACCCTCCCACATCTATTTGTGTAGGATCCCAAATGATTATCATTAAATTCGACACAGATCTCAAGTCCCGCACCTATGTGATAATTTTTTTTAGAGATCTGTGATAACTTTTTTAGAGATTTGTGTCAAATTTAATGGTGATTCTTTGGAGTCCTACACATATCGGTGTAAGAAGGTGATCTTTACTCATATAAAAATAAGAGATATGAAAATATTTTTTGTTTATATTATTGAGTAATGATCCTATGAGACCCTCCCACACCCATGTGTGTAAGATTCCAAAGAATCACCATTAAATTTGGTATAAATCTTTAAAAACATTTTTAGATGTGTATGATATTTAACTTTTCTAGATATCTGTGTCAAATTTAATAATGATCATTTAAAGTCTACGTGGGTGTGAGAGGGTCTCATAAGGTCATTTCCCTGTAGTATTACAATTAGGAAAACGATGGGTGTGCCATCTCTCTTAGTTAGCTTAATTGCGGCCAACGGTGATGAGCTACAATCGTCAAATGGAATGTGTTCATGGAGTCTCCTATAATCAATTTGGGTACATCTCTCTCGCCCCCACAGGAGTCTCTCTCTCTCTCTCGCCTCCACATGGGTCTTTTTCTCACTCCTGCCCCCACAGGACCTCTTTTCTCTCTCTCTTTATATGTTTCATATTGTTCTTCTAAACAATGAAATTGAGTAGGTTTTTTGTTTTGTAATGAAATTGAATACTACAGGGCTTTGTTGTGATAATGCCATTTAATCTTTAATTCTTATTTTTATGGCAGCAGGCCTCGGCAATCGGCAACGTAAATGTATATTATGGCAGCAGTTTGTGTTGTATATATTGGTTTATTGAAATGATTTTTGCACTTAATTTTTTTCCTTTCATCATTTCTTTCTTGACTTGGCCTCTGATATGTAAGTGCAATGTGCACACGGATCAATCATACATATTTGCATGCTTTTGTTCTTAGTCTATACTTGGTAGGCTTTCAGCCTGCCATTGCAATGTGAAAAGTTATGGTAGAAGGCTGGGGTTCATATTTTGATAATGCCAATTTATTTGTGTAATTTGTAATTTCGAGTTCCTCTCCAACTACCATTTTATGTGAACTTTCTTGGGCTCTCTCATCCATTTTAACCATCTTTTCCTTCTGTCTTGGTTTTAACATGATAATATTAATTTTGCTAGTTTCATACAATTCAAAAGATGCCATGTTAGTTCTCTACTGTGGATATATATTTAAGAAAACAATGAGGTTATGTACCATGAAGTATTTAAAGATATCAAAATTAGTATCAAGATTCATATCCCAATTTACCAAGCCAGAAAGTATCACTTAAGTAACAATTACATGGTGGGTATGATTGTTATTAGATCTGGGAATGTCGTGTAAGCTTTCCTCGTATTTGCTGGCCTACTTGCAATTGAACTTGAACCATGCTTTAGTTTATTAAAATAGAGTGACTGACCTACTTGTAAATGAAAGCAGATTCTAGTGCACAATTTCTACTATTTGAGAACATAATTGTTGTCAGAATTACTTGCTTTATCTTTCTCTAGAACAAAACATGTTATGCTAAGAGAGTATTGGTCAATGCAGATATAATAACCATGTTTTGTGAGTTCCGATGCTTTTGTATTGGATGTTAAGTGATATGAATAGTTATTGGGCTCTTGCTTTTGATGATTGTGTGATAGTGGCATTCACAAAATTGTGTTTTACTTGGGCGTAGGTGGACAGATAGCAAGTTCATCCACAAGCAAGCACCACCATGGCATATCCAGTCAAACTTTGCAGAGGTTGTGGCCAGACATGTGGGATGCACATGTCTAGAAGCGAACAAAACCCGAACAGGAGGTACTATAAGTGCAAATCATGGCAATTAGTTGATATGCATCTCCCATACTCTCAAGACTGCAATATATTAGAGCCACATCTAACTTCAAGTCATTGATCAAGGTATTAGAGAATTAACAACATTTGATTTCCCAAGGGAATTCCGAGAAACGTATAATCATAGTCATATTGGCTCTGAGTTTAGTGATTCTTGTTGTATATTTCTTTCTCCTTATAAAAAAGGAGTAAGGTATACTTCTCTACCTTAACAGTAAATGAATTACATTTTGCATAAAAAAAAGAAGCAATGTGTATTGTTTTTTTGCCTCGAGTTATTTCGTGTACTTTTTTTGGGATCAAAGGCACTGTTATTATATATTGTTCTTTTCATTTCTCATTCTGAATTAGCTGCCTAATAATGCTGGGTTGACCCAAGTCTTTGATTGCCTAAGAAGTTTTTCTGAAGCATTGGTTAAGATGTATGATGATATCAGCCAAAAGTGTTAGGGCTCAGGTTGCTTATACTAGTGGGAGAAGAAGAGCAGCTTGTGGAGGTGTGGAAGAGGGGGCGATTATTGGAGATGCATAAACTGCAATATAGTGTTTTTATCAGAAACTGATGAAAGGTTAGAATAAAGTTCTATTGTTTTACTAGTTCTGGGTAGAAGTAGATTCTTGAATTTAAGGTAGGTCCCAAATTTTGGGATCCCAAGCTTCTAACACCTACCCTGTTAAATTTTTGTATATTGAGAATGAATAAAGGCCTTTTGATGAAAGGTGGCATATGGGTTTTGTTACTTTGCTGCTAATAAATGTTTCTTCATTATTTCTTTCAATTCATACTCTCAAATTTTGCATTCTTCTAGGGCTTAGAATGTAATTTACCTCTCTGCTCCTAATGTTTCATAGATCCATGTCTTGAGTTTTGTCTCTTTGATTTCTTCAAGGCTTTCATAAAGTGGTTTGTGGGTCTCTCTATCACTTGTTTCAGTTGTTGATCATCTGCCTATGCATGATAGGGTTTTTATTTTGCTGAGTATTAGGCTCATCTCAACTGCACAGTAGGTCTGGTTCAAGTCATGAATCAAATCACCTCTCTCTCTCTCTTTCTTCAAAATGT